CCCAGCTCCCCCACAACCCAGCTCTCCCACGGCCCAGCTCCCCCACGGTCCAGCTCCCCCACGGCCCCAGCTCCACCACAGGCTTAGCTCCACCACGACCACCACGGCCCAGCTCCCCCACGGCCCCAGCCCCACCACGGCCCAGTCCCACCACGGCCCAACTCCCCCGCGGCCCAGCCCCCCCACGGCCCAGCTCCCCCACAGCCCCAGTCCCACCACGGCCCAGCTCCCCCACGGCCCAGCTCCACCACAGGCTTAGCTCCACCACGACCACCACGGCCCAGCTCCCCCACGGCCCAGCTCCCCCATGGGCCAGCTCCCCCACGGGCCCAGCGCCACGGTGCCAGATGCTCTCTGGTCCTGGTCCCGGGCAGAGGGCCTGTCCTGCACATGGGGGAGCCCCGGTGCAGGGGACTCCTGAGCCCAGGGCACTGCAGACCCTGCGCCCTGCTGCCCGCTCTCACCGACATTGGGAACACGTTTGTTCGGAACGCTGTCCAGCTGCTGCGCCTGGGCTGTGGGTCAGGCGGTGCCCCGGTGAGGGGAGGACTGAGTTAGCACACCAGGGGGCCTCCGGCCGGGACTCCGCGCGCCCGTGACGGCGTGGCTGTCTCCTCCACTCGGGGCCGGTGAAGGGACCAGAGCCAGCCCCCGAGCGGCACCCGGGGCAGCTGTGGGCCACACCCACGGGGGGGGGGGGGGGCTGAGGGGCAGACTGGCCGCAGGGGGAGCAGGCTGGGCTGCCGGGCTGGGGTGTGAGCTGAACGCGCAGGTGCCCACGTGGCCGTGGTGTCAGCCGTCCCCACGCCGATGTGCGGTGTCAGACTGTGAGGAGCCGTCGCCTCCCCACGCGGCGAGCTCCCCGGAGCCGGTGCGGATCAGGCATGACCACGAGGGAAAAGCGGCTGAACCGCCGGCCCAGCACCCTCCGCCGGCATCCCGGTGAAGAGCCGTGAGCCACTCTCTCGGCAGCTGCTGGAGCCGTGCCGCCCTCCACCCAGGCCGGCTCAGCTGCCTCCATTTCAAAACAGCCGTCTCCCTCTCACCAAGCCTGCAGCCCGGGATGGGGGGGCAGGGGAGGAGCCATAACCACCATGAGGGGCAAACCATGCGGTGCCCGCAGACGGCAAACAGGATCTGGTCTGGCCCGTGAATAAAGCATCGGCCTGCGGACTGAAGGGTCCCAGGTTCGATTCCAGCCAAGTGCACAGGCCTGGGTTTCGGCTCGATCCCCAGTAGGGGGCGTGCAAGAGGCAGCTGATCCATGATTCTCTCTCGTCATCGATGTTTCTATTTCTTTCCCCCTCCTCCCTTCCTCTCTGAAACCAATAAAGATATTTTTTCAAAGAAAACTAAGGTGGAGGGAGGCCCGGGACACTGCAGAGTCAGACGGAGCTGGTGGGGAAGGTGAGCCCTGGAGAGAAGCCCGCCCGCCTCCCAGCGGCAGGGCCAGCGCAGGCAAAGTCCCCGGATACTTGAGAGACTGCAAGGCGACCGCCCGGGGCGGGGGGGAGGCCTGTGAGGCTGCGGAAGGGCCAGGAGGGGAGCTGGGAGGGGTCGGACGGAAGAGGGACAGGGAGAGGTCGGGCGGAGGCAGGAGGAATGGCGGGGGGCCTCCAGCCCCCCAGAGCACATGGGCCTCCCTGAGCGGGGGGACCACGCGGGGTCAGAGCAGACGGACGACAAGGCTGCTCAGTGGTGGCTGGTACCGCGTCCGGAGCGCTTGGCCTGGCAGCATGTTAGGGGACGGCTGTCCTATCCCTGTGCCTCACAGGGCCTGCACCAAAGGGGCCTCACCTCCTCCCCTAGCACATCAGCCTCTCGTCAGCCACCCTGTCAGCCACCGGGAAGGCCCATCGCATCACAGCCGGACGCTGCCCGCCCGGGGGCTCCCGCTCTGCCGATCACAGCTGCACGGAGCTGCTATTTTTAAATATATATATTGATTGGTTTCCGAGAGGAAGGGAGAAGGGATAGAGAAGCATCCATGAGGAGAATCATGGATCGGCTGCCTCCTGCACACCCCTTATGGGGACCAAGCCGGCACCCTGAACATGTGCCCTTGACCGGAATCGAACCTGGGACTGTCCAGTCCACTGAGCTGCACCGGCCAGGGCCAAGGCTGCTGTTTGTAGAGACAAGCCGGGTCCAAAGGGCAGACACACCCAGTGGACGCAGGCTTCATGGGGACACTGTCTTTTCAGAAGTTTTCTCCAAGTTTGCTCCCTCCCCTCCCTCCCCTCCCTCCCCTCCCTCTCCGCACCCTCCCCCCCCCCCCCCCCGCCGCCCGCTGGGAGGGTCCAGTGGCTGGGACCAGGGTCCTGGCTTCCGGGGCCCAGGCTCTGACTTTGGGGTGGGGCCAGGGCCGCCCTCCCAGTGCTGACAGGTCCCTCCCACCTGGGCCACCTGTGGGCGGGGCCTCCGGGAGCCGGGAGCTGGGGAGCCAGGAAGCCTGGGAGCTGGGAGCTGGGAGCTGGGAGCCAGGGAGCTGGGAGCCAGGATGGGGGCGCCCGGGGAGCCCGGGCCGGCGGGCTGGGACCGCCGCAGGGTGGGTGCCCGGCTGCGCGCGGCGCTGGCGGGGTTGCGGGAGCTGCAGGGGCTGCGGGAGCGGCAGGAGGCGTTGGTGCGGGGCGCCCTGGCCGAGCCCCCCCTGCCCGCACCCCGGCCCCCCGCCGCCCCCCACGGGCCCCGTGAACAGGAGCCGCTGGAGGCTGCGCTGGCGGCGCTGCAGGAGCGGCTGGTAAGGGGGGCCGGGGGGAGGACGGGGGGCGCCGGCGCAGGTCCCCCCATCCTGGAAGCCACTGGGGGGACGCGGACACTGGGCGCGGTGCATGGGCTTGCGCTCCCGCCATCCTGAGGACAGCGCGCGGGGTCGGTCTGAGTGGTTCTGGGGGAGGCCCGGCCCGGCTTCCCCCGCCGCAGTTCCGGGAGGGAGTGCCTGTGCAGAGCGCACCCGAGGGCCCGGAATGTGTGGGGTATGGGGTCTGTTATTGTGACAACAGGTTGGAAAAGCCGGCCCGCGGGGGAGGCGGGTCCTGGGTCCGAAGCGGGGGAGGTGGGGGACCTGAGGGCCCTCTGTGGACAGACACTGCGGGGTCCCCTGCTCTGGCCGGCTGTGCGGCTCCGTCCTGGTGGGACCAGCTCAGAGTTTGGGGTCACAGTTTCTAAGGGAAACGCACAGGCTCCGGGCTGTTCTCATCCAACTCCAGAGCCTCAGTCCGTCCCTGTGAGAGCCGCTGTGGTTACCCAGTGGCCAGGAAGCCCTGCCCGGCCCAGGACTGGGTCTCCCCGCCCTCTGCAGCCGTCCCCGGGGTCCAGCAGCTGCCGGAGGGTGGAAGGGGTGGTGGGAGGGCCCCCCAGGCCTCAGCCCCCACTGGCCCCAGCCCCCTACCTGCCATGGAGCGTGCTTAGTTAGGCCGTGTTTGCACCCGAACCCTCTCACCTCATCCCTGAGCTGGGGGTGCCCTGCTGCAGGCTGGGGCCGCCCTGAGCTGTGCTCGTTTGGGGGTGGGGAAGATGTGGAGGCAGTGGGGGGGGGGGGCACAGGTTGATGATTAACTTCCAGGAACAAATCACCCATGAGCACCAGCCTTTAATTACAGCAGCCTGTGCAGGGGAGGATCAAACAGGCTCTTTGTTTAAAGTTTTAAAAGTGGGACCAGAAGGAACATGCAGACCGTGTGCTGGGACTTCGTTCTCGGGCGGATTACGTGATCCGAACGGAGACCCGGTATGACATCAGCTCAGTGCAAAGCTCGGGGCCGAGCGGGAGTGTCCCTGCCCTGGGTGCAGAGTACAGCCAGGTGCGTCCCGGCCCCATGGACCAGGAACTCCCAGCACGCGCGCACACACACACACACACACACACACACACACACGGGCACAGCCCAGGCACACGCCCTGCCCACGCCCAGGCAGGAGGAGGGTTATGGACCATCCGGACCCACCGGCCGCAGCACCTCACCCTGCAGGCTCCCAGGGAGGGTGAGCCTGGCTCCCCTCAGTCACACTCACCGGTTCCTGGTCTGCAGCCACGGGAGCTCGCCCTCGCCCTGGTCAGAGGGCCCTCGGCCTGGTCGGTGCGCCCGGGGCAGCAGGCGGCTGCTGTGTCTCAGAGGAGAGTTCAGTACTGACCGCGTCCGTGAGGATGCCGTGACCTCTGACCCAGCAGTCACGTGGTTGGTCAGGGCAGCCTGTGCTCACCGGGGCAGCCGTGCCACCTGCTTCCTTTCCGGAGATGGGCCAGCCCCAGAGAAGGTTGCAGCAGGAGGTTCCGCCAGCAGGAGGCGCTGCTGGGAGGGAGGGGAGGCAGAGGCAGCGGCCTGGGATGTTAGTGGGAATTCCCTGGGGTTGACTCTGCGGGTCCTGACTTGCCCCGAGTCCCAGCAGCAGCACAGGCACCTAGAGGGACCGCTGGTGCCGGGGCCGGGCAGACACCACGCCGTGTGGCCCTGGGGTTGACCCTGACCCCTGACCCCTCGGGGAGACCTGCGCTTCAGGTCACGGTGAGGACCCCGGCGGCTCCTGCCTGCCACCCAGAGGCTCACCAGGCCACCGTGGCTGCTGAGGGAGGGACAGTGAGAGGGGCAGGAAGAGGGCGGGGCCGCCCACCCGCAGGGCGCCTGTGGCCACAGACAGCCCGGAGCAGCGGAGGCTGAGCCCCGGTGCCCGCGGCGGCCCGGCGGCGTCCTCAGGCCGTGTGGTGCGCGGCCCTGAAGTGCCTTCGTGGTCCCCGGCGGCCGGTTACGGACAGGCTGGCGGGGACCCGCCCGTGGGCTCAGGGACCAGGAACCTGCGTTCGTGCCGGCGCCCACCTCCTGGGGAGCCGTCCAGCCTGCACTGCCCTGCACGGCCGCCTCCCCGCCGCCACGTTCTCACCGCAGGGAGGTCACTGAGCAATAATTGGCCTCGGGACGCCCTGTCTCCCTGGCACAATCGAAACGCAATTAATGATTTCCTTCAACAGGACGAACCACGGAATTACGCTCGTTAATTATTTTCCCCAAAAATTAATTGTTAATCAAAACAAGAAGTGTATGCAGCAGACCTTGAAAACGGCGAGGTTTTATCGCTGAAAGAAGAAATCAGCGTTTATGAAACATTTGGGGCCAGTGGTTCGCCTGCCCTTACTGGCACTGTGAACATGCAGGATAAGCTCTCCCCACATGTGTGTGTCATGTGGTATGTGATACATGCACATGCCATAGCTACCATACACAGGCATATACCCATGTTGTGTAATATACACATTTGCATGTGAACATGTGTGGGTGTATTATGAGCTCTAACCACAGACATGTGTTATATGTTCTATAAAATGTACACATGTAAATTATATAGCATGCCCACGTGTATTATATAATATAAGCACCCATGTGTCACATACTAGTGTATAATGTGCACGTGTGCTGTGTGTGTAGTATATTGTCTATACACACGTGTGTGCTTTGTGTGCAGTATACTATACACACACATACTGTGTGTTGTATAACATGAACATCTGTGCAGTGTGTGTATAACACATGCAGAGACCTAGCCAGCAGGTGGGCCTCTGCATGCGGAGCCTGCCACGGGGGTTCTGTGTTGCCGGCTCCTGATCCCCCTCAGGCAGGCGGTGTCCTGTGTCTGTAGGAAAAAAACCCAGTTGGCCCTGGATGGTGTGGCTCAGTGGGGACTGAGGGGTCCCGGGTTCGATCCTGGTCAGGGCACAGGCCCGTGTACAGGCTCGAGCCCAGTGTGGGTGTGAGGAGGGCCAATGAGTGTCCTCGTCGTCGGTGTTCCTGCCCCCCCACCCCTCCGTCTGAGACGTGTGTGTATTTTACGTGTCCCTCCGTCTGAGACGTGTGTATTTTACGTGTCCCGTTGCCGGCTTGTTCAGGAGGGAACCGAGGGAGGGAGGGTCCGAGGCTCCTCTCCTGTGAGCCGGCTGGTTGCTGCTGGCGTGAGGGTGCGCGTGGCACAGGGACCTCAGGGCTTAGCCTGTGTCCACGATGGAAACACCTGTGTCCCGTGTCCTCTCTTCCCCGGGCAGCTCCGGCTGCGATGCCAGGACCTTGGCCTGAAAGCCCACCTGGACCAGCTGGATCAGCGGATCAGCGAGCTGCAGCTCGACATGCACAGGACGCCCCCCGAGGGCCCCGACGGCGACAGCCGGCCCAGCTCAGGTACATGCCGCACACAGACACAGGCACATGAGTGTGCATGTGTATACATGCACACCACACAGAGACATGGGCACATGTGTGTGCACATCACCCATACCAGGCACACTTGAATGTATGCACACACACAAAAATAGGCATAGATGCACACACACGTGTGTGCAGACACACGTGTATAACATGTGTTTTTGCACTTGTGTGTGCATGGGCACACATGTGTGTAGTTATGTGCATGTGTGAACGTGTACGTGTGTGCACATGTAAGCCATATGCTTGTGTGTATGTGTACATATATGTGTGTTCGTGCACGTGTGCAGGCATATATAGAAGTTTCACACACCCATGGGTATATGTGTGTGGCACACGTTTGCACATATGTATGCATACACATGCACATATTCACACAACCTATACACATCACCACACACCCATACACATGCCACGCACATATACGCGCCCCCCCCACACACACACACCCCACGCCCGCGCTGCCCTCTCTGTGCCCAGGCTTCTACGAGATGAGCGACGGCGGCTCCGGCTCCCTGTCTGCCTCCTGCACGTCCGTGTGCAGCAACCGCCCGTCCTGCTCCCTCGGGGCCCTGCCGCCCCGCACCCCCTCGGCCAGGGCCAGCGCGGGGGCCGGCCGGCCCCGGTCCGCGGACGAGACCACCGTGTGCGGGGCCCCCCTGTCTGTGCGGGGGCTGCCGGCCCCTGAGCACGGCGCGGGCCCCTCCCGGCCCAGGCCCGTGTCCACAGGTGAGGAGAGCCGGGGAGGGGGTGAGGAGAGCCGGGGAGGGCGGAGGGGAGAGCCGGGGAGGAGAGCCGGGGAGGGCGGAGGGGAGAGCCGGGGAGGAGAGCCGGGGAGGGCGGAGGGGAGAGCCGGGGAGGAGAGCCGGGGAGGAGAGCCGGGGAGGGCGGAGGGGAGAGCCGGGGAGGAGAGCGGGAAGGGGGTGAAGAGAGCCGGGAAGGATGGGAAGGCCCATCCCGGCGGCGGGCTGTGCCGGGTGGCGGGCTGTGCCGTGGGGCTGTGCCAGTCGCCCTCACGTCAGGCCCCTCCTCTCCCCGTCCCCAGGTGACCTTGAGCGCGTCCTCCGGGCTGCGGTGGGGCCCCCGGCGGCCGGCAGCACCGTGTCCTCAGTGCTTCTCCGCCGTGGGCTGGGCCCCCTGCCCCCCCTGCTGGACCCCAAGTACCAGCGCGACCTGGTGTCCAAGGGGGGCGGGGAGGTGTACCTGTACCCCAGCCCCCTGCACGCCGTGGCTCTGCAGAGCCCCCTCTTCGCCCTGCCCACGGGCCCCCCGCAGCGGGACAGCCCCCCGCCGCCCCCAAGCCAGGCCCTTCCCGGCCCCTCGGCGCCACACCCCGCCTGGACGGCGCCGGCCCCCGAGCCCGGGGCGGCCCGAGCCTACATAGACAAGCTGCTCGGACTGCGGGGCCTGAGGGGCCCCCTAAGAGGCCAGGTGGGGGAGCAGGGACCCCTGTCCTGGAGACCCGAGATGGGGCGTCGCCCAGAGGGGCTGGCCTGCTCCCCCAGAAGAGCCGGCGTGGGAGGGGGGGCTCTGAGGGGGAACACGGGTGGGGACAGCCTCAAGCAGCGGGGACCTGTGCCCCTGGGAAGCCCCTCACCCCCCAGCAGCCTTCCGGAGGGGGGACAGAGACCCCCCCGAAGCTGCGTCTGTGCGGGGACCATCCCAGGCTCCCCTCAGCTAGGGGGTATACCCCGAGCCCAGCAGGCAGCTCCCACCGGCCGGGACGGCCCAGCCAGGCTGCCTGCCAGGCCGGGCCGGGGGCCCTGGGTGCACCCCCACTCCGTCGCCAGCAGCGCTGCCCCAGCGGGGCCGCACACGGGCCAGAGCCCCGGCCTGCCCACCACGAAGGCGGTGAAGATGGGGAGGGCGGCCAGCTGCAAGGCGCCGAGGCCAGGGAGGCAGCCGCCCCCCGGGGGCGCCCTCCTGGCCCCCCAGCCGCCCCCCACGTGGGGCGCTGGACTAAGGAGGAGGCCCCCACAGGCCCGGGAGGCTCCTGGCCGCTCCTGCTCCGAGTGCAGCCTCTTCCCGGTGTCCCTCCTCGTCCCCGCACCGGTGGCCGTCCGGGGAGGCCACGGGGCGCCCGCCCAGGCCCCGGCCCTCCGGGAGGCAGCCCCCGCGGCGGCCGCCAGGGCGGCCCGGCACAGGCAGCGCAGGTGGCGGTCATCCGTGGAGCTCTCGGCCCGCGCCCGCCTGCCCGGTGCCCATGGCAGCGTCCGGGACGTGGGAAGCCGGCCGGCCTGGCCTGGGGCGAGCCCCCCACAGCCCCCGGGCACCCCCGGCCCCAGGCCCCCGGGCACCCCCGGCTCCCGGCCGCCCCCGTCCCCGGTTCCCTGGCTCTGCCGCATCAAGGCCTCCAAGGCCCTGAAGAAGAAGATCTGCCGGTTCCAGCCCACTGGGCTGAAGGTCATGACCCTGGTGTGAGGCCCGCTGAAGGTCACGACCCTGTGAGGCTGCTGAAGGTCATGGCCCTGTGAGTCCTGCTGAAGGTCATGGCCCTGGGAGAGGCCCAGCACCTGTGTTCCAGAAGCCATCCCCGAGGGAGGAGCGGGGAGGGGAGGGGGTGGCGGGCTCAGGGCCTCCCGGGCCAAGGACAAAGTCCAGTGTCTGTCCGTTTACTATGCGGCTGTGGGTTCTCCGTGTTGGTGCCGATCTGTGGTCTGAAGTTCCTCTTGTTAGAGTCGCCATCGTCCCAGGAGCTGAGGGAGGAGCAGGTGCCAGGCTGGCCGGGGCCAGGGCCCTCCCCGTCCGTCAGACGTCCATGGAGGACAGTGAGCCTGGGTCCCCGAGCCGCCCACAGACTCAGACTCAGACACAGACTCAGACACAGACACAGACTCAGACACAGACTGCCAGGCGCCCAGGCGTCTGAGCCTCCTGTCCCCGCACAGCCTCACCCTCGGGGCTCAGGAGGCCGGCTCCCGCGGAGAACTGGGCGGGATGGAGCCCCGTCCACCTCCTGTGAATAAACCTGGTGTTTGCTTTTCGATCTGAGTCACGCCATCCTTCCTGCTGAGGGGGCCCCCGTTCATACCGTCCTTCCTGCTGAGGGGTCCCCGTTCATACCATCCTTCCTGCTGAGGTGTTCCCATTCACACCATCCTTCCTGCTGAGGGGTCCCCCGTTCACATCATCCTTCCTGCTGAGGGGTCCCCAGTTCCCCGTTCACGCCGTTTTTCCTGCTGAGCGGTCCCCAGTCCCCGTTCACACCATCCTTCCTGCTGAGGGTCCCCCGTTCACACCGTCCTTCCTGCTGAGGGGTCCCCGGTTCCCCGTTCACACCATCCTTCCTGCTGAGGGGTCCCCCGTTCACGCCGTCCTTGTGCTGAGGATGGCGGGTCTGAGCTCGCACTGCTTGTCCCGAGGGGCCTCTCCTCTAACACTCGGGCGTGCAGCCCTTTGAGGCGTCTCTTCACACCTGCCGCCCCGCAGCCGCTCCCCACGCCCCGGCTCCGCTGTTCCCCTGACGCCCGGGGGGCCCAGCCCCATCCTGGCCATGGTCAGGCCTGCGTGGGGCACCCACACCTCCTGAGCTCCGGGGACTCACTGCCCCTCGCCTCCTCTGCCCGGGCCGTGCCTCCGGGCTTTCTCCCGGTCACTGTGAGCCGTCCATTCCGCCTCCGCTCGCCGGGAGGCCCCGCCCCCTCCCGCCTCCGCTCCGCCCCCTCCCGCCTCCGCTCCGCCCCCTCCCGCCTCCGCCGGAAGGCCCCGCCCCCTCCCGCTTCCGCTCGCTGGGAGGCCCCGCCCCCTTCCGCCTCCGCTCGCCAAAAGGCCCCGCCCCTCCCGCCTCCGCTCCGCCGGAAGTCCCCGCCCCCTCCCGCCCGCTGCTCTGCGTGCTGTGCCGCTCGCCGGTCTTCGACGCTGTCCTGGCCCCGCTCTCCCTCCCTGATGACGCCGCGGCGTGCTCACCGGCTCTCCCCGGAGCCCCTCACGCTGAGCCCGCCCGCGGGTGAGAGGCTTGGGGAGCCGGCTCCCCCGTGCTCTGTCCTCCCTCCGGCTCCCTGGCCTCCTCGGGCCGGGCCGGTGTCAGCAGAGCTCAGATCTCACCACTCGCCTGGACCCTCTGCCTCGGCCGCGCCCTCGGTGCTGACCTCCCCGGGTGGGGACATGGATGGCGGGTGGCGTGGGCCCCCTCAGCTCCCGCCTGCCCCGCCTCAGCCACCGGGAAGGGGTCTGGTCCTCCTGGGACAGGGCAGCGGCTCAGCCCCGGGGCCGAGCGGGCAGGGGAACCTCCGGTCCTTACCTGGGAGGAGGGGGATGGAGTCCTCCGTCCCCCGGAGCAGGGTGCCCAGTGGGGGCCGGTGAGCCCGAGACGCTGGGGCCCCTGCGGGTGGAGACCCTGAGGCCCGGCTCGGAGAGAAAGGCGCAGCGAGCTCTCGGCACACCTTCCCGGCATTCATGTGCCTTAACCTCCCATCGTGCTTTGGGCTGAGCTGGCCTCGGCCTTGGAGCGGCTCACACTTCGCGGCCCCCGGTGTGCGGGGCGGTGTGAGGGGCGGCGTGAGGGGCGGCCGCGGTGTGCGGGGCGGCCGCAGGGTGAGGGGCGGCCGCGGTGTGCGGGGCGGTGTGAGGGGCGGCGTGAGGGGCGGCCGCGGTGTGCGGGGCGGCCGCAGGGTGAGGGGCGGTGTGCGGGGCGGTGTGCGGGGTGGTGTGCGGGGCGGCCGCGGTGTGAGGGGCAGGGTGCGGGGCGGCCGCGGTGTGCGGGGCGGTGTGAGGGGCGGCCGCGGTGTGCGGGGCGGCCGCGGGGTGAGGGGCGGTGTGAGGGGCGGCCGCGGTGTGCGGGGCGGTGTGCGGGGCGGCCGCGGGGTGAGGGGCGGTGTGAGGGGCGGTGTGCGGGGCGGCCGCGGGGTGAGGGGCGGTGTGAGGGGCAGGGTGCGGGGCGGCCGCGGGGTGCGGGGCGGTGTGCAGGGCGGCCGCGGTGTGCGGGGCGGCTGCTGTCCCCCCGGCCAGGCCCCATGAGCAGCAGCAGAGGCTAAGCGGCCGAGAGGCCTCCGGGGCTGGGGCTCCATCTCTGATCGGCAGCAGCGGGACAGACGGATCCCGGCTTCTGTCCTTGGAGCTGAGCGCCTGAGCACACGCCCCAGGGCAGAGCCGTCGCTGCGGAGGGACCGGCCGGAGCCGGGGCTCCCGAGGGGACAGCAGTTTCGCTCCGGAACAGCCTTTGTGGGCGAATGAAAAGGACAGAGCGCACTGCCGCCCCGCGCCGTCCCCGGGCCCGGTGTGGCCGCTGAGAAGGCTCCGCACCTCCCTCAGAGAACAGCCCTCTCTCAGGACTGGGCCGGACACACGGTTTCAGTCACAGCCGTCTCAGCTTCCCATGGGCACCGGGAGGGACTAGCAGTGCTGCAGAGTGAGCCGCTGAGAACAGACCACAGCCTAACCTAACCCTAACCCTACATCTACCCTAGCCTAACCCTAGCCCTAGCCCTAACCCAGCCTGCGGTCTCTCCTGGGCTGGAACTGGGCTGTGCTGTCTCCCTGGGGGAGGGGAGGGCTGCAATGGGGTCAGGCCTCCCCCTGCCTCACCCGCCCAGGCAGTGGGGTGAGAACACGGCCTCAGTCGCTGCGTCTCACCCGTGGCCCCGCCGGGGCTCTGACACGTGGCCCTGAGCCAGCGGCAGAGCTCAGAGTGCACCCGTCTTATCCGCCCGGGGGTCCTCCCCCTCCCACTCTGGTGATGTGGTGGGGAGAGCTGAGAGGGTGGCGCACAGGGAAGGGGGTCTGTGGGGCCTGGGGCAGAGGAGGAGCTGCCTGTCAGCGAGAGTGGGGTCCCGCACACACAGGGCTGCAGGCTCGCAGCCCTGGGTCCCCGTGGGGCCGCCGGCCACGAACCATCGGACCCTGATGTGCTTTGTTGTTTTCACGAGGTCTGCCCGACACCTCCCCCATAGCAGTGGAGGCGCGTCTGAGCCCTGAGGCCGGCTCCAGCCACACCTAGCTGCTCCCAGGGACTCTCCTGACTCAGTGCTGCTGGCTGGGGGGGGGGGGGGGGGGAAGGGGCGGGGGAACACTCAGGGGACCGGCCCGCACTCCCCCGCCCCCCGCCCATGCTCCGCCCCCCTCAGTGCGCTAACTGCCATCTCTGGGCAGAAAATGATGCTTCTGTGTGCAGAGAGCGGGAATGCCTCCTGGGCTGGGGCTCTAAGGGGCGGGCAGAGGGGGCAGACCCGGTTGCCGTGGTGCCCGGCCCTGCGTCCGGGCTGCCGGGCAGCTGGCTGGGCGAGTGCTGAGGGTCTGGCCAGGTTAATGGTTAACCGCCCGTGACCGCGCTGAGGCTCCAGAGAATAAAGAAAGGCCTGGGGTTCCGTCCCCCTGGGAGAGAGCGCGGAGGGGCCACGGGGTCCAGAGGGCTCGGGGCCTGAGCTGGGGCCACACGTGTTTGTCTTAAACAAACATCTTCAAAGTCAAGATCCCGAGAGCAGCCCCGGCCTCCGTGAGGGCCAATCGTTTGCCCTGTGGTGTTTGCCAGGCGGACTCCTTCGTGCGGCAGGAAAGGCCACGCCTGGATGCCCGTCAGGATGGACGGAGCCTCCGGCCGAGGCGCTCCCAGGAGGGGCCCGGAGGATGGAGAGGGGCTGTTCAAACAGGAAGTGACGCTGTTCATGGGAAGACGCTGAGCTCAGAGAGGACTCCCGGACAGCCACCTTTCACGTGTCACAGGCGTGTCGGTCACAGGCGTGTGGGTCACAGGCGTGCCGTGGCAGGCGGTGCTCGGTGCTCAGAGCCGCACATATCAGCGTCTCAGGGCTGGCGCTGCTCCTCTCCTCCCGCCCTCGTGCTCCGGCGGCGCTGGGATGGCCCAGGGCCTGGTCCCTAGCTCGAGGGCCACGGAGGGGACGCCGGCCCCCGCTGCCCCCTCTGCCAGGGACCGGCCGCCCCTCCCCTGTCACTGCATCGCCGAGAGGCCCTGGTGAGACTTCAAGCCGCTCATGTAGAAACACAGAATTCCCAGGAACTTGGACTCTCCGTCCGTCCATCTTTCTGAACAGCCCTGGGTTTGCGGGGAGAACGAGGAACACGTTTCAGGGTGAGAAGGGGTGGGAATAGATCAAGTCCGTGTCCCATGACGTCCTGTGCGTCCTGAAAACAAACGCTCCACAGAACCAGCAAGTCACCCAGGAGCAGCGGCTCTCTATGGCGGCCGCGTTCCCATAAGTGAACGTGTGTGTGTGTGTGTGTGTGTGTGTGTCCTGTTCACATAGTCACCGTCCCACAAACACTAAATCCATGGCACATGGACCTCACGGGGAGCCGGCGAGAAGCCAGAGATTTCTCCCGAAGAGTGTCACTGGCAGAGGACGGGGGCAGCGTGGAGGGCACGGCGTGGGCTGAGCAGAAGCGGGAGACGCCTCTTCGCCCAAATGAAAGCAGGTGTTTCCAGCGTGCACTGTCACCTAGCCCGGCGCTGATTACAGACAACGCTG